TGAGTGTGGGCAAGAACACAGGGGCCCCATGATCCCCTATTGCCCGGGGCCCCATGAGTTGTCAGTCTGCCCCTGCTCTGGCACTGGCCGAGGGCCTGGGGTCAGTAGGGGTTCCATGAGATGCCCCTGGTACCTTTTTCATAGGCTTTTTTGAGTTTGGGCAAGGACACAGGGGCCCCATGATCCCCTATTGCCCGGGGGCCCCATGAGTTGTCAGTCCGCCCCTGATTTATACTGCTGACACAGAAAATCAAAGGCATCTTCAGCGTTTACAGTGTAGATAAAGTCATTTTTTGGTAGGGTGGGGGAGGGTTGAAACCCCATCAGGTGTTTTGCATATGTGTCCTACTGGGCACATTTCCCTCCATTGTCATTTACATGCAGAGGGAAGTCAGAGGAAACGACCAGACCGCAACAATGCGACTTTGTAGCAAGTCAAGGCAGGGGAGTGCAGCAGGGGCTGATCTGTGTCAGACAAAAACAGCACAGGCACCATGATTTACATGGCTTCACTGCACTGGCAACTGATCTTAAAGTGATATTAACCAGTCGCCCTCCTGAGGATTTACCCCCCTTCCTGACCAGGCCATTTTTTGCGATAGTGCGCTGAGTTACTTTAACTAACGATTGCGCAGTCATGCAACTCTGCACCCAAATTAAATTTATGTCCTTTTTTCTCATAAATAGAGCATTCTTTCTGTGGTATTTGATCGCCTCTGCGTTTTTCATTTTTTGCTCTATAAACAAAACAACAAAAAAAAAGCCGACAACTTTGAAAAAAAAAAAAACATTTTTTACTTTCTGTTATAAAACATATCCAGTAAAAAAAAAAAGCTTTCTTTTGGTGGTATTTGATCACCTCTGGGTTTTTTATTATATACTGGGAAAGGGGAAAAAAAAACAAAAAAAAAAAACAATAGTTTTTAATTTCTGTTATAAAACATATCCAGCAATAAAAAAAAAAAAAATTAGCTTTCTTTTGGTGGTATTTCATCATCTCTGGAAATTTAAATTTTTTATTATATGAAGGAAAAAAAAAATTTGAAAAAAAAACAATAGTTTTTACTTTCTGCTATAAAACATATCCAATAAAAAAAATTGAAAAAAATCTAATTGCTTCATAAATTTAGGGCAAAATATATTTTGCAACATATTCTTAGTTAAAATAAAATCCCAATAAGCATATATTGATTGGTTAAATAAATACTGGAATTTTTTAAAATTAATTTTTATACTAGAAATGGCGGCGATCAGCGACTTATAGCGGTCCTGGGGTCAGTAGGGGGGTGGCCATGAGATGCCCCTGGTACCTTTTTTCATAAGCTTTTTGGAGTTTGGGCAAGGACACAGGGGCCCCATGATCCCCTATTGCCCGGGGGCCCCATGAGTTGTCAGTCCGCCCCTGTTGGTGTCATTGAGCGGAACTGTGCCCCATCGTTGGTGTCATTAGGAGGAATTCTACCCCATCATTGGTGTGTTGGGACCAATTGTTGGTGTCATTGAGCTGAACTGTGCCCCATCATTAATGTCATTAGGAGGAATTGTGTCCCTTCATTGGTGTCATTGGGAGGAATTGTGTCCCTTCATTGGTGTCATTGGGAAGAATTGCACCCCTTCATTGGTGTCAGTTGGGGGGAATTGCACCCCTTCCTTGGTGTCAGTTGGGGGGAATTGCACCCCTTCCTTGGTGTCAGTTGGGGGGAATTATGCCCCATTGTTGGTGTCATTAGGAGGAATTGTGCCCCATCATTGGTGTATTGGGCCCAATTGTTGGTGTCATTGAGTGGAACTGTGCCCCATCGTTGGTGTTATTCTGCCCCTTCATTGGCGTAATTTGGAGGCATTGTGCCCCATCATGGCGGCATTGGGAGGAATTGCACCCCTTCATTGGTGTCATTGGGAGGAATTGCACCCCTTCATTGGTGTCAGTTGGGGGGAATTGCATCCCTTCCTTGGTGCCAGTTGGGGGGAATTGCATCCCTTCCTTGGTGTCAGTTGGGGGGAATTATGCCCCCTTGTTGGTGTCATTAGGAGGAATTGTGCCCCATCATTGGTGTATTGGGCCCAATTGTTGGTGTCATTGAGCAGAACTCTGCCCCATTGTTGGTGTCATTTGGAGGCATTGTGCCCCTTCCTTGGTGTCAGTTGGGGGGAAATATGCCCTATTGTTGGTGTCAGTGGATGAAATAGTGCTCCAAGGGCCAGAATAAAGCAAGCAAAGGACCCCGGGGCCACAGTTTGGAGACCACTGACCTAGAAAATGGCCGTTTTTCTTTTTTTTGAACGATCGGCTCCCGTTATCTTCGATGGGGTTCGGCTTTGACATTGGAACGTCAGTCATGTTCTTGGAACCGTGTTCAGACTGTACATTTTCCTCATCACTCATCTTACCATGAAAGAGAGATCTGACGTCCGGTCTGCTGGAACAAACGGCAGTTAGCTGCTAAATTCTCTCTGTAACAATCTATGTAACTTTTTTTTTTTTTAAATTGTGTTTCATACTAAAAGTTGGAGGGATTCCATGTCCCAGCCTTCTATAGAGCCGACTGCAGAGGAGTCAGTGTGACCTGGGGGTGGAGGAGGGGGATGATGCTGTGTGCATGAGGAATGTATGTCCAGGGCGGCAGAGGGATGGAATTACACCATGTCACTACAGGAGGGGAAGTAATGATGCAGCTTTATTCCTCGTGTATCAGGAGGAGGCGGGGGAGGGGAGCTGGGGGGTGGGGGGGGGGGGGGGGGTCCCTCTCTGGCCCTATCTGCTCCTTATTTCCTTCTCTTTACTTCTGTTCCTTATATGGGCAAAGAGAACCGACAAGGGTGAGGTCACCGCGAGAGCGCCCAGACCGCAGCGAATGCAGCGAGACGTCACAGCGCTTCATCTCCAACCAAAACAAAAAGTCGCAAACAATCAAAATATTTCATTAAACTTGACAAAAAGGAAAACTTCATGTAAAAAGTAAATCAAAAGCAAAAAAAAATTTTTTTTTTTTTTTTTTTTTTGGGTTAACCCATCAGGTTTTTGAGGGTTTTGCGATCTGCATTGCATTCAGCTCTTTCAGACCCGATTCACGCCAATGCGGGGCGGGAAACGCTGCGAACACCGCATTGCGATCGCATCGGGTTCATGCAGTCTGGTGCGGGTGTCAATGATAAAATATCGACACCCCCCAAACGGGGCCGAAAATGCATTGCGATTGGCAGAAATAGCATCTTATAGGTGAGAACACCCATGCGATGTGATTCAGGTGCGGATTTTAAGCTCGGGTACACACTGTTGCGGTGCGGAACATCGCATATGATTCGCACAGGAGCCGTGCTGCATTCCTGCGCAAATCACATGCGATTTCTGTGTGGTGCGATTTGAGCCATACATTTTGGATGGCTCAAATCGCACCTCATCTGCACCAAAAAGGTGCAGGACCAGGGGCAGACTGACAACTCATGGGGCCCCCGGGCAATAGGGGATCATGGGGCCCCAGTGTCCTTGCCCAAACTCAAAAAATCCTATGAAAAAGGTACCAGGGGCATCTCATGGGGCCCCCTACTGACCCCGGGCCCTCAGGCAGTGCCCGAGTTTCCAAATGGTCAGTCCGCCCCTGTGCAGGACCCTTTTTCAGCCTGGGTTCATACTGATGGAGTGCGGAACATCGCATAGGATTCGCATAGAAACCGCACTGCATTCCTGTGCAAATCACAAGCGATTTCTGTGCGGTGCAATATGAGCCATACATTTTGCATGGCTCAAATCGCACCAAAAAAGTGCAGGACCCTTTTTCAGCCCGCGTTCACACTGTTGCTGTGTGGAACATGGCATATGATTCGCACAGGAGCCACACTGCATTCCTGCGCAAATCACATGCGATTTTGTGTGGTGCAATTTGAGCCATACATTTTGTATGGCTCAAATCGCACCTCGTCCGCACCAAAAAAGTACAGGACCCTTTCTCACCCCGGGTTCACACTGTTGCGGTGCAGCACATCGCATAGCATTCGCACAGGAACCGCATCGCATATAACAGAGTTTAGCATTTTTTTTTCTTCCCAGCAAGAAAAAAATTTACACTTTAACAAAAAAAAGCTGAAAACCCCCCACAAAATGCAGCAAAAACACGCCAAAAACACGCGTGTAAAAACACAAAGCACAATGCAAAAAGCATTATAAAAAGGATCAAAAGCAAACTGCATAGGTGTGAACCAGGGGCGGACTGACCATTTGGAAACTCGGGCACTGCCTGAGGGCCCGGGGTCAGTAGGGGGCCCCATGAGATGCCCCTGGTACCTTTTTCATAGGCTTTTTTGAGTTTGGGCAAGGACACAGGGGCCCCATGATCCCCTATTGCCCGGGGGCCCCATGAGTTGTCAGTCCGCCCCTGCTCCTGTTCCTTTTTGGGCGGCAAGCTTCATGCAATTTGTGAAGGTGCAGTTTGCCGCAATCGCTGTGCAATCCATTGCGGCAGAATCGCATGGTGTCTAGGGAGCCAGTGAAGGATAATCGTGCCACAATTTCCAAGCGTTTTGGGATCGTGGGCAGAATCGGACAGATTCCACTCGCAAATTTCAAGTCGCAAAGTGTGAATGGAGCCTAAGGGTGCTCTGTTTTTGATGCGCTTTTGCCATGTTTTCTGGACTCCAATCATGCACTTTGGACATGCGACTCAAATGGCACCAAAAATGCACCGCATTTGCATTTTTGATACATGTGATACATTTTTGATCATTTTGAAGTGTAGTATCTTTTTTGGTGCGGTTTATAAACATTGGTTTGAAGAGTTCCATAGGATTTAAAGGGATACAATTTTCATGCATTTTTCTTCTGCAAAGGTAAGTTGTAAAGCAAGCCGACAATCCCTGCAAGATGGATCGGATCTGCGGATTGGGGAGCATAATGGATCGGACTCATAACCAGCGGTGGACTGACAACTCATGGGGCCCCCGGGCAATAGGGGATCATGGGGCCCCTGTGTCCTCACCTACACTCAAACCACACCCAAAAAAACCTATGAAAGGTACCAGGGGCATCTCATGGGGCCCCCTACTGACCCCGGGCCCTTGGGCAGTGCCCAAGTTGCCGAATGGTCAGTCTGCCCCTGCTCATATCCATTATGCTCAATCTGCAGATCCGATCCATCCTGCGGGGATCGTCGGCTTGCTTTACAACTTACCTTTTCATGGAGCGGGTCTGGAGTCATCCCGTATAGGTTGCATGCCGACAATCCCCACAGGATGGATCGGATCTGCAGATTGAGCACGCACCCCCCCCCCCCCCCCTGCACCTGCCTAGGGATGCCACTGCTGTAGAGTGTGACAGGCAACATCGCCCGTCAAACTTGCTTATTCAGCTGCACTGCAACCGCAATCCAAGTGCTTGGCCCAGAGTTGTGATGTGGTCAGGGGCGGACTGACCATTCAAGCATTGCCCGAGGGCCCGGGGACAGTAGGGGGCCCCATGAAATGCCCCTGGTACCTTTCATAGGCTTTTTTGGGTGTGCTTTGAGTGTGGGCAAGGACACAGAGGCCCCATGATCCCCTATTGCCCGGGGGCCCCATGAGTTGTCAGTCCGCCCTTGGACGTGGTACAACAATGTAAGGCTGGGTTCATGCCTTTTTTGCACATTTGCATCATGCGTTTTTGCTCTTCACACAGCTTGCTAATTTCATTGGACTGCAACAAAGTAGCTCATGCGCCTTTTTGGGGGTTGAGCTTTCTGCGTTCTGACACATTTGCTGCGTGATTTGACGTTTGTGAAAATGAACGTCTGGTTGCTGCTTTTGGGGTGCCATTAACTATGACTGGCACTGCAAGCATGACACACATTTTCCACGCTTTTTGTGTTCACAAAACCCTCAGGTGTGAATGCAGCCTGCTGTTTGGCAATTATAATAATAATAATGATAATAATGATAACAATAATATCAATAATAATAATAATAGTAATAATATTAATAATAAAAAAAATGATAGAAAAAAAAAGCCATTAGGAGGAGACAGTAGCACCTCCTGATCGCCTGCCAGCCACAGCTATGCCACCCTCTGAAAAGCGATCCATTAAGGGAATCGCTTCTTAGAGGGTGGTGAGCAATACCGCATGTGCAAAAGAGCCCTTAGGGAGATTTCCCTTTGCTTCTTGTCCTGCAGACACCATAGGGAGCACGAGGAACTCTCTACAAAGGGAGGGTCTCCATTCACATCTGCCTGCTGGAGAACATGCGCTAAAATGTGCGCATTCCCACACCGCCCATTCCTAATGGTTCCCCAACACATCTTTCTAAGGAACGTGCATTTAAGCACACCAGAACGCATGGTAACAAGTATTCAGGTGCAGTGCATTTAAAAAAAAAAAAAAGGTGCAATTTTCTTGCGTTGGGCAGTCCATTTAATGGCCGGTTCACGCTATAGCAAAGCAGTCCAGATGCATTTCTGCATGCATGCTTTTGGCACGTTCCAGTGCGTTTTGATGCATTTTTTGTTAAGCATTCCAGTGCGTTTGTTATGTATTCCAGTTCATTTTTCCCCTCTCCTCTCTTTTTCTTCAGTTTAAATACAGAGACGTGTGCATTTCATATGTGCAGTTTTGGTGCATTTTACCGCATGTAGTGTGAACAGACCCTTAACCATTTTATACACTTTTTAATTTTATTCATTCATTTTTATATTGTTGCATTAAAAAAAGTGCAAAATAAAAAAGTGTTCATAAAGGGCCGGTTCACACTATAGAAACGCAGTCCAGATGCATTCCGGATATGTTTCTGTATGTGCGTTTTTGGTATATTTCGGTGCAGTTTTGACGCATTTCAGTGCGATTTTTATGCATTCCAGTTCATTTTTTCCCCTCTCTTTTTCTTCAGTTTAAATATATAGACTTGATAATTTCACACGTGCAGTTTTACCGCATGGCGTGTGAACCGGCCTTTAAACATTTTTTACACCTTTTCTTATTTTATTCATTCATTTTTATAGTGTAGCAATAAAAAAAGTGCAAAATAAAAAAGTGTTCATTAAGGGCCGGTTCACACTATAGAAATGCAGTCCAGATGCATTCCGGATGCGTTTCCACATGCGTGTTTTTGGCACATTGTGGTGCATTTTTGATGCGTTCCAGTTCATTTTTTCCCCTCTCTTTCTTCAGTTTAAATATAGAGACATGTGCATTTCTCATGTGCAGTTTTGCTGCGTTTTAACGCATGTCGTGTGAACCGGCCCTTAAACATTTTTTACACTTTTTTCATTTTATTTATTAATTTTTATAGTGTATTAAAAAAAGTGCAAAATAGAAAAGTGTTCATTGAGGGCTGATTCACACGATAGAAACGCAGTCCAGGTGTGCTCCGGATGCATTTCCGCATGCACGTTTTTGGCACGTTCCAGTGTGTTTTGATGCATTTTTTTACGTGTTCCAGTGCACTTTTTTATGCATTCCAGTTCATTTTTCCTCAGTTTAAATATAGAGACATGCATTTCACACGTGCAGTTTTGGTGCGTTTTACTGCATGTAGTGTGAACCGGCCCTTAAACATTTTTTTATACTTTATTCATTTTATTCTTTCATTTTTATAGTGTTGCATTAAAAAAGGTGCAAAATAGAAAAGTGTTCATTAAGGGCCGGTTCACACGATAGAAATGTAGTCCAGATGCGCTCTAGATGCATTTCCGCATGCGCGGTTGTGGCACGTTCTGGTGTATTATTTTGACGCATTCCAGTGCGTTTTTTATGCATTCCAGTTAATTTTTCCCCTCTCTTCAATTTAAATGTGCATTCCAGTGCGTTTTTGGTGCGTTCCAGTGGGTTTTTGATGCATTATACCAGAATAAGTATAAATCAACACACACATATATATATATAAAATCCTCAGAAATCCCTTAAAGTCATATCAATATCCTTCCCCTGAAGTACTAATAAAACATATATTCATTGACTTAAACTTTTTGGGTTTAAGTCAATGAATATATGTTTTGATGCATTATACCGCTTTCCAGTACAGTTCCATGCAGGAAAAATGCAGCCTGTTCTACTTTTTTTCTGCAACCGGAACGCACTGGAGCTGCAAGCACTGATGTGAACTATGACACTGATTACTATATCACCTACTTTCTGTGCATTTTGGATGCAGAAAAAAAAGCAACTGAAACGCATGTAGTGTGAACTGGCCCAAATGAATGGGCTGCCCATAAGCACCACACATTGTTGAATGTAAAACATGCGTAACAAATGCGCACTATCACACCTGCATAGGTGCACAGGGCCTCTGCCTCCCCTTCACACTAGTGCGATCTGCTGTGTGTCAGCTGTCTTGCTGCAAGGTGCGACAATAGAAATCACAAATTGTTGGGTAGTGGCAGGGGCGGACTGACAACTCATGGGGCCCCCGAGCAATAGGGGATCATGGGGCCCCTGTGTCCTTGCCCAAACTCAAAAAAGCCTAAGAAAAAAGGTACCAGGGGCATCTCATGGCACCCCCCTACTGACCCCGGGCCCTCAGGCAGTGCTTGTGTTTCCAAACGGTCAGTCCGCCCCTGGGTGACAGGAGCTTGCTGAAAAGCAGTAAAAGGCACACAAAAAAATGTATCTTATTCATTCAATGCCATGGGGGCCAAAGCACACATTGATGCACCAAAAAGAAAGGGGGCTATTGTTTTCACTGCACAGGTGTGTATGAAAAAAGTCAAGAATGGCAATCCTCTTGTCATGCATTATCAGGTGTTGGCCTTGGACTGTTCATTCCTGTTGTGGTGACAACTCAAACATTGGGTTTCAGTCCCAGTGACAACAGTTTCCAGGACAGACAGATAAAAAGTCTCCTTTGTAGGGACTGAGATAAAAAAATAATAAAAACCTGACTATGCAAGAAATAGTAAGGCTATGGTTTAGTGTAGTTGGGGGGTGGTAAAAATGTGTGGTTGAATCACAATTTTACTTCCACTTACTCCCCCTTAAGCTGCAATAGGCAGCAGATGGGGGTGTTTACATGCCACGGTCAGAATGCTTTGCACCTGCGACAAAATCATGTTGTAAATGAAGATTTTCTTTCATAAGAGGTTAATACTGTGCTAATAAATGATTAATAGCTGAGCAGAGACAAATTTCCCAATCAGAGACAGTCACTCAGAGAAAGAGATGACCAGGAGACAGGCGTACAGAAAGACAGCACAGACAATTATGGAGAGACAGCCATACAGAAAGACAATCATGCAGGAGACATGCACAGAGACATTCAAAAACACATGGGCAGACACAGCCAGACAGTAACAGTCATACAGAAAGAGACGTGCAGAAACAGTCATACAGACAGGGACATGCACAGAGACAGTCATACAGAAAGAGACATGCACAGACAGCCATACAGAAAGAGACACGCGCAGAGACAGCCATACAGAAAGAGACACGCGCAGAGACAGCCATACAGAAAGAGACACGCGCAGAGACAGCCATACAGACAGGGACAGGCACAGACAGCCATACAGAAAGAGACACGCGCAGAGACAGCCATACAGAAAGAGACACGCGCAGAGACAGCCATACAGAAAGAGACACGCGCAGAGACAGCCATACAGAAAGAGACACGCACAGAGACAGCCATACAGACAGAGACACGCACAGAGACAGCCATACAGACAGAGACACGCACAGAGACAGCCATACAGAAAGAGACACGCACAGAGACAGCCATACAGAAAGAGACACGCACAGAGACAGCCATACAGAAAGAGACACGCACAGAGACAGCCATACAGAAAGAGACATGCACAGAGACAGCCATACAGAAAGAGACATGCACAGAGACAGCCATACAGACAGGGACATGCACAGACAGCCATACAGACAGGGACATGCACAGAGACAGCCATACAGAAAGAGACATGCACAGAGACAGCCATACAGAAAGAGACATGCACAGAGACAGCCATACAGAAAGAGACATGCACAGAGACAGCCATACAGAAAGAGACATGCACAGAGACAGCCATACAGAAAGAGACATGCGCAGAGACAGCTATACAGAAAGAGACATGCACAGAGACAGCCATACAGACAGGGACATGCACAGACAGCCATACAGAAAGAGACATGCACAGAGACAGCCATACAGAAAGAGACGTGCAG